AAACCTAAAATAATTGATAAATATAGATGATCTATAGTTTATTACATTGAATTAATTTCAAAATATGCTGACCCAATAATCAAAAGCATTTCTTATCTATTATTAATGGACTTTTGATGAAGTTAAAAATTGCAATCACTAAAATAACTAACAACTATAAATTTTTTTAAGATTAACAAAGCAAAAGTAGTTTCTTTTCTTAACTTAAGATAATGATAATGATATTTTAATGTGTCCTATAAGGATTACAAAAATAATCGTTTTTATTGAAAGAGCCATTTCCTACTAACTTTTGTCCTTTGATTAATTATTTTTTAAGATGCTTAAGGAGACATGCAACTTAAACGTTTAGGAGTAAAAACTTTATGTATAGTTTCTTCTTTTTGTAAGTATTGACTCCATATATAAAGTGCATCGAAAGCTCTGTAAAGAATTGGCTTAACTTTATGTGATTTTTTGTCATATTTCAGTAAATATTTGAAAAGTAACTTATTACAAACATATGAATATCTTCTAACAATTTTAATGCAGATTTCTGCAGAATCTTAGTATTCATATCTTATAAGTAATTTTAAGGCTTTTAGATATTGTGATGTTTTAATAAGACTATTGATCTCATTTAATAAATTCATTTCTTATTTATAATAATAAAATAAGGTATATTAGTTGAATAAAATCATCTATTAATAAGTTTGAGCTACGATTAGATGTTTTAGTAAATATAATGATAATATATTTTGTTGGAAAATATTTATTTATTTCAGATAAGTATTAATTTAAATATTTTTGTAATGGCAGAGTAATTTATCTTGTTATGAATTTTTTAGGGATAAAGATACAAAAACAATTCCCCTTGATGAAAATGATATCAATTTATTAAAGAAATATGGTATGGGTCCATATGCAGAGAAAATCAAATAATTAGAAGAAGAAAACAAGAATTCAGTTGCCACAATAAATAAAATGGTTGGAATAAAAGAAAGTGATACAGGTTTAAGTATCCCAAGTACATGGGATTTAGTGGCTGATCAAAAGCTTGCTTCAGTAATTCAATTAATTAATTTTTTAAGGAACATCCATTGACAGTAGCTAGATGTACTAAGATATTCAAATCATCTCTACAATAAAAGGATCTTTATATGATCACTATAAAACATATAGCTAAATATGTTGTAGGCTTAGGAGAGAAAGTGGCCCCAACAGATATAGAGGAAGGAATGAGAGTTGGAGTTGAAAGATAAAAATATGCAATTTAATTGCCATTACCACCAAAGATTGATCCATCTGTAACAATGATGACTGTGGAAGATAAACCAGATGTTACATATAATGATATTGGTGGATGCAAAGAATAGTTAAAAAAATTAAGGGAAGTAGTTGAAATGCCTTTATTGAATCCAGAAAAATTTATTACTTTGGGTATTGATCCACCAAAAGGTGTTTTAATGTATGGACCACCAGGAACAGGTAAAACATTGACAGCAAGAGCTGTTGCCAATAGAACTGAAGTATAATCTTGATATATTTTAGGCATGTTTTATTCGTGTTATAGGTTCAGAATTAGTTTAAAAATATGTTGGAGAAGGGGCAAGAATGGTTAGAGAATTATTTTAAATGGCAAGGACTAAAAAGGCATGCATTATATTTTTTGATGAAATTGATGCTATTGGAGGTGCTAGACATGATGATGGAAATGATAATGATGTTTAAAGAACAATGCTTGAAATAGTTAATTAATTAGATGGATTTGATTCTAGAGGCAATATTAAAGTGTTAATGGCTACTAATAGACCAGACACATTAGATCCAGCACTTTTAAGACCTGGAAGATTGGATAGAAAAGTTGAATTTGCATTACCAGATTTAGAAGGTAGAGCAGGTATATTTAAAATTCATGCCAGAACAATGAGTATGGAAAAAAATATTAGATATGAATTATTAGCAAGGTATATATTATTTTAATAATTTAGATTGTGTCCTAATACAACTGGTGCTGATATCCGAAGTGTTTGTACTGAAGCAGGAATGTTTGCAATTAGAGCTAGAAGAAAGGCTATAAGTGAAAAGGATTTATTAGAAGCCATTGAAAAGGTTATTAAAGGATATCAGAAGTTCTCAGCAACCCAAAAATACATGGTTTATAATTGATTATTATAGTCATAAATATATGCAATATTGGTATCATTTATAAATTATGTAATATAATAGATAAATATTTTATTGTTCTTCAAGTCCAATATCTTTAACTTGGTTCTCTTGGGAATTTCATTTCCTCGATACATACAATAACATCATCATATATAGAATTATTAATAAATGGTAAATTCTACAATGCTGGCCCTTATCTCACTCTTGCATATTTATCATAAACTGAACCATGACAAATGCAAACCCAACCCTATCATAAAATTTTGCATAATACATTATAGGCACCTAAATAAGGAATTGGTATGCATCCTAAATGAGTACACAAAGCACTTACAACCAATACCTTTGTATTACCACAATTTGTTAGGACAACCTCAGAACTAAAATTTTATTGTTTCTAGATTACTTGGGATCCAAAATAGTCTCTTTAGGTAAATTATCTTCATCCTTTATTTCTTATTAAGTCAATCTTCTAATAAATACTGGTGTACCATTCCATACAATTTACATGACTTCTCCAGGTGGTAAATCTCCAATACTAAACAAAAAATTAAATGCTAAATTATTACTCCATTTCAAGATAAGTGTCTCTGTCATATCTCTTCCATCCATTCATTCTACCTATGATACCTACTGCAAATAGTCTTGCAAAAGAGAGTAATCCACCATAATAGACAGCATTTAATGCATATATTTATGTTCTTTTAATCTCGGTCTCATGTTCATTATGGACTCTATACTCAATTTTTTTAGCAATTGTTACCTGTTTTCATCAAACCAATTATCCATTTATACTTTGAAATCAATATGATCACCGAAATTTCCTGGTCTAGCTGAAGTTGTAAAGAATTGTGGTGCTTCGGATACTTAAACTCCTTTGTATAACTTTTAGTTGACTCTGCTATTGTATTCCGAAACTAGACCAAAGTGAGCTTTGCCTATAAATGATCTTCTCAATACTCGACTAATCATTTTTAAATCTTTTATATAATTTATTTATAAATAGTTATTCCTTTCATATTTTCATTTCTTATATTGATTATCTAATACTCATCAAGTTGCTTTTAGTAATTTATTCTGGAGTAGCCTACAAAATTCTACAAATCTAGGCTTTTTTTGTAAAAATTTAAATGTTATTATTATTCTCAATTATTAATCTTAATAAACTGTAGTAGTATGTCAATTATTCTAATACATAAACCATAGTCTCATCTTATAATTATAGTTATTATGAATCACTAGCTCCAGCTAATCTGGTATTACATTTATTGAACAAATCTCTTATGCATCTCTATAGCAAAGTACTAAAAAGTAAATAAAATTCATAGCTTTCATTTACTGACTTGAAGTTTTCATATATTTTCTGAAAACTTCTATCTCTTAACACACATTGTTTGAGAGTATGATTGCTTTCAATCATTTAATACTAAAATAATAAATGAGTTTTACTTATTTATCATGATACTCTTTAGCAATTTGATAGATTTCATGAACCTATGTTTGATATTTTCCTACAGTTTCAATATAAGTATCAAATTCACATAATTATAAGACATTTTTCTTTTTTTCAACAACTTCTCTTAATAATATGGTCTTAAAGAACATGTTTTTGATAATCAAGAATTTTAGTTTGATTTAAAAATCTTAATTGAATATTTGTTATTTGTCAAGTATTCTTAAGATTCTAAACATCAATTCAATAAATTAGAATTAAGATTGTATAATTTCATCATTCTGTGTCAAATATCTGACACTCTCTCTGCTTTTTAATGCAGATTAAGGCATAGCAGTTTAAGCTATAAAATTAATCTTACGATTATGATGATATTCTGTGGTTCTTTAAGGAGAATAATTGTCTCTATTTTTAACTGAAGTATTTTTATCTGTAATAGGTCTTGGGGCAGTCATTGTATGTCTACGATAGAAAATAGGATGATGTTCTAAATCAATACATGAGTATCTTTTTGATTCATCAACTGACAAGCATTTTAAAATGAATTCTATTGTTTCTTTTGATACTGGAATATTTGCAGGAAATTATGGTTAAGTTTTTAATATTACTTAAGCCAAATCTTTTTCACTCTATGCTGAATATGGAACTTATCCATACAACATCTCATAGAATATAATTCCCAAACTCCAAATATCAGTTTTCTCAGAATATATATTTTTAATCATAGTTTAAGGAGACATGTATAATGCTGTACCTACATTATAGTAGATTGTTTCAGGTGGTGCATTCATCATTTTTGAAAATCCATAATCTGCTATTTTAGGAATTCCATTTCTTATTAAAATATTTATTGGCTTTAAATCTCTGTGAATTATTCCTTTTGCAACTTATTCTTTAAAACCATTTACAATATGCTTCATAATTTTAATTGCCTCTATTTCATCAATTCTCTATTTTCTTTTTATTAGTTATCCCAAATCCCCTATAATCATTGAATTATTAGATACCTTAATTACAATATTCAGTTATAATATATGTACATTATGGTCGGTGATAATAATCATACATTTTTAATACATTTTCAGAATTCATCAATTATAAGGCTTGAATCTCTTGATTTAATAAGAACTCTTCAACCTCATTAGTTATTTTACTTCGATCAATTATCTGATAGTTCAAATTACAAAAATACTTTTATCGCAACGGTCTCATTAGTATTATCATTTTTGCCTTTAAACACTTGACTACTGAAACCTGATCCAATTTAATCATTAACACTGTAACTATATTGTTCTATCTTCACTATTTTACTAGATTAAAATGCACCCGCAGTAACTTAAGCGAATTTCATGTCTGATATTATTTAATTAGTTTGTTATATCGATTAAAATTACACTTTATGGACTACACTATTAAAGATTTCTTCTTTGATGACCCTGAAGAAAAGTCTTTCTGGACTTAAACTCAGTTCGTTGCCAAAGTTATTAAAACTGAATTTCAAGACAATATGTATATATATAAGGAGAAAGAACTTGTAAAACGTAAAGTTGGGATTATGTCTCATTATCTCTTACTATTTAAAGATTAAGTATAATTTAAAGTGTAAAAAATCTTTAGGAAGTACGTAAGTGGGTGAATTTGATAAATGTTACCATGGAGATAATTAAAAACCCAGTAGCTGGCCAAGGAATTAGATTTCTAAAAAACAAATAATGCTTTGAAATGTTTGGTGATATTGAACTGTGGTATAATTACCTTAAAAAGTATTGTATTTAAAGAGGCTTCACTCAAAGATACTCATTACTTAAAAAAATAGGTTAAGGGAATTTCGCTGAAGTATATGATTATTTCATTTTCAGGTATTCAAGGCTGTTTGTAAGACTGATGGACATGAGTATGCTATCAAATGCTTTAGAAAATCTGATTTAAAAGAAGAAGTTGATAAATTATCGATTATTAAAGAAACTTCCATCATGAGAAAACTTTAAAATGAGTCAGTAATAAAAATGTATGAAGTATTTGAAGGGGATGAATACTTATACTTAGTTCTTGAATATTTGAAGGGAGGTGAATTACATAAATACATGAAAAAGTCTCCCCCTTTTTCTGAAGAAAAATGTTCAAAATTAATTTACAAACTATTAAAAACCTGTCAATTTATTCATGAATAAGGAATATTACATCGAGATATTAAACCTGAAAATATTATGTTAAGAAACAAAGATGATTTAGAAGACATCTGTATCTGTGATTTTGGATTGGCAGATTATTATACTCCAAGTGGCAAGTATTTATTTACTAGATGTGGAACTCCAGGATATGTTGCTCCTGAACTATTATAAGATAAAATCTATGATTACAAAGTAGATATATACAGCATAGGTATTTTAATGTTCATTCTTATTGCTGGTAAATCTCCCTTTGAAGGAAAAGACTATGATGATGTTGTAATGAGAAATTATTATGCTAAAGTTAAATTCGAAGAATGTAAATTAAGTGAGCATGGAATGAGTCTACTTCATGGTTTAATGAACAAGAATCCTGTTAAAAGATTAAGTGCTTAAGAGGCACTTAATCATTAATGGTTTATATAAGAAAAATTAGCAAAAACATGTCAATTTAAAATTCGAAGACATAGTAATGTGAAGAGATTACCACATCTTGATGGTTCTCCTATTCCTACTACTAATTTCTTGAGTCCCAAACATTCATTCAATAACCTCAGTCCACAAAGTCTGACCCGTACTGATGATAATACACCAAACTCTCCAATCACTCCTGTTACACCTTTGTAACATAAAGGTAAACCAATTCGTAAATCGATCTTCAATCTGTAACAACTATGAGTAAAATATTCATTTCAAAATTCATTACCTAAATCATTATTTTAAAGTAATTTCTATTTCTTAAGGTATTTATTATAAATATATCAAATGAATAAATGAAAAACGATATTAAGCAGAATTTAATATATACTTAAAAACTCTTTTGTTAACGATTAAGCATAAATAATTTAAATAAATTTTTCTTTAAGTCATCTAAGTTACAATAGAAAATGGTAAAGCTTTTTTATCCCTAAAAACAATATAGATTCAAGAGCCATAAATTAATCCTCAACTTGGTCCAATTATTGCTAAGTAATTATAAATGATTATCAAATAACCTATTGATGGTAAATTGATATTTCATTCTTCTTATAGGTGTCCATGTAATTTTAAATGAATAAGATGTTTTTGATATTTAAGCAGATATTGATGGTCCAGGTATATACTTATTAATAAATATAGTCGACACTCCATTCTAAGGAGGAGTTTTTAGATGTAAATTGATTTTGCCACCTCAATTTCCTTAGATGGCACCAAAAGGTAAACTAATTAAATATGTTAGGTTTATTTAACACTAAAATCTTTCATCCAAATGTTTCAGAAAAAGGAGAGATTTGTGTCAATACTTTAAAGAAAGATTGGAATCCAAATTAATGGTCATTAAAAAATATATTTGAAGTTATAAAGTGTTTATTGATCGTTCCTTTTCCAGAAAGTTCTTTAAATGAGGAAGCTGGAAAATTATTTATGGAAAATTATGATGAATATTTTAAAAGAGCAAAATTACTTACAAATATTTATGCATTGAAGTAAGATGCAAATATATTAAAAGGAAATAATTAAGTAAATTTTATATTCTTATTTTTAGATCGTTATTGATGAAGCTGATAAAAAAAATAAAGTAAATTAAACTTAACAGAAAAAAGAAAATGATTAAAAGAAATGGTTAAAAAGAATATGAATACTTATCATTACAAATAATATATTATTATTATTGTAATTATCTATTTTAATACTTTGAACTTTCATATTGATGTTCATTTTAATAAATATAAAAATCAGATTTGAATTCATCTCAATCTATTGGAGATTTTATTTCTGTTTCATTTAATTGTCTATTTTCAAACAATGCTTCATTTTAATCAAAATTGGCCCTGAGATAAATGAATTTAATTACCATTATTTATTCTTTTCATAAAATTGATTTTAATTATATTTTAAGAAATAAAGTGCAAAAGCACCTACTAAGACTCCATAAAATGCTCCCCATTAAGCAACTACATCAATAATAGTATCTTTAACAACTTATATAATTTTAATCTCTTGATCTAATCTTAAAAATATCTAATATCCTTTATAAATTGATAAACTGTCAGTAGGTTATCTACCAACATCATTTTAAGATACATTGGTAACATACAAATATTATCTATTAACTAATAAAAAATCTTCATGTTTAGTTGAAAATTAAGTTAAATAGTCACCACTCATAGATACTAATTATTTCTATAAAACAATTTCAGCTCTATTGTAAAGTCCAGGTACTAAAAAGTATTAAAAAACTTAATATTTTAATCCTTTAGTTTTCTTGCCTACAAAATTAACTTCTGGTGCTTAATTTTTAATATACAGAAACAATCTTCCTCCTGCTACTGTCTAAATAAATAAATAATGAATTTACTTTTCTAATCTTTTCTTCAGTTTCACATTGTAGTTTCTTCTCTGGATGAAGATATGGACAGTAATCTATCTGTATTCTTGGATAGATAAATTCTTCAGATTTATATAATTGACCAGATAAATTAAGTTGAACTTCAGGACATAGAAAAGCTAATTTAGAGGCATTTTCAGGCATCCATTCAATGTCACTACTGTAACAAGTCTTTAAAGGTATTTAAATTGAAGAATTATCTTATTTTGCTGGATCTAAGTATTTAATAACCTGCTGCATAGTGATACTAAAAATGCTAGTATTTGTGATTGATTCATTTAAGACATCCTTTCCATATAAAAATTGCATTGCTATTTCAGGTCCTACAGTTAAGGAGTCTGAATCGTCCAATTATGAATACTCATTCAATCTTGGCACATTGTCAATTATAAAAACTAAATTGAATAAATTAATACAAACAAAGCTTGATATGATGTAGGTGGTAAATAAAAATATAAAAATGAAAGTTCCTATTAAACTTCTTTTGGTACTAACAGGATATGTTTTTGGAGTAGGAATAGCTGAGAAAATATCTATTTTATGTAGCATTAATTTCCATTTAGGTAAAGAGTTTCTCTATCTCTCAGGTTATAAGCGCTAATAAGATGCTCTATTATTAGATAAATCTTCGATATCAGACATTAAAACAATATTAAATAATTTATAAGAATTCTTTATCTATATGAATTTTTATTATATAGAATATTTAGATTGGAAATAGAAAAAAATCAAATACTTATATCTGATTATTTCAAATGAATATTTTTAATTTTTGATTTGTTGATAGAGCCAATTATTCAAGTTCTTAAACCTAATAATATATATATCTTATAATTTACTTCTTGGTATGTTTCTTCTATAATTTATAGATTGTCTTCATTTTATTCTTCATCTTCTTCATCCTCATCAGTAAATCCTATTGCTTTTTTGACAGGGAACCAATCAATTTCATTATTAATCATTAATCGTTTAACATAGGTTTCATTTCCTGATAAATCATTTTTTGGTTTAAAAAATAAATATACTTTATAATAAACATAATTCCACATATGATGATTTTTTTTAATGTGTGAATAATGACCATATTATGTACTCTTATCTAATTTTTCACTCTATATTCCACAGATAAAACAATAATCTTCTAGATTAGATTGTTTTTCAAGCATTTCATCTTTTAAAGCACCAAATGTATCAATAATAATACCAGCAACCATATTAATGATCAAAAATACTAAGATAAATTTAAAAAGAACATCAAAAACAAATCTATAAATAAATCTATCTTATTAATAAGGAGTTAATGAATAATTAATAGGTAATTATGATCCAGATGGACTTTATAATTATGTATCTGCTAAATAATCACCAATAGCACCTCCATTTTTAAATGTTTAATCAAATGTTTATAAAAAGCATCTCCACATAATTTAACATGATTAATCTTGATATTGATCCCAAAAGAATAAATAACCAATGACTGCAAAATAATATTCAACTAATAAGAATACTAAAAATGATAAACCCATTTATATTTTACTAATCCAAATTGCTTTTATAACAATTTTAAGTGTTGATATTCTTAGAAAATCAGCTAATAACAATACAAATGCAAATGGATGAATAATTAATCCAACAATAATGCATGCCATATATCCACAAAAATATGCAAAATCAAAATCAACTAAACAATTAATAAATGATCTAACTATCATAACAATACTCATAATAGTTCTTTCTATACATCCCATAGGTTTACTTAGAAATTCAACCCACATATCAGTAATTAAAAGTGGAGCTTTTTTTATAGCAAAAAATGTTATGACTAATAATGAGAATCCCAAATTGAGATATCCCAAAATGACTATAAGGGTATTAGTCCAAGTAAAATCTGATACATAAAATAGACGGGGCTAATTTAATCTTGCCTCCCACAGTAAATCAGAATCAGGTTAAGTAGAATCATAATATTATTAATTTTATAGAACCCAATCTAATGAAAATTTAATTCCATTAAAACTAATTGGAAATGGTGTTGGAAGAGTATCAGTATATGCATAAGATCCATAAGAACATAATATTACTAAATTAATAATAACATTTGTTATAAATGCTAATTATTCCCATAATAATTTATGAGTGGCAATCAATTCTACAACTTTTAATCTTTTAAATAAATTTCTTAATAATTCTTCATGTTCCATTACTTTTCTCATTTAATCAGCAGAAGTCATTAAATAAACTAATTTATCTCTAATTGATGAATGATCAACTTATTCACAGAAATCAGTTCTTGATTCTTTTGATAACATTTTGCATTATGGTAATAAAGGGAAATAAATTCTATGGAGTTGATCATCTCTTGCTATTTCTATAAAAACTGTATTTTCTGAGAAAAATTTATATGCATCTTTTTAAGCTTTTTTCATCTCTTATGCTTTCTTCAATTCATTTGATTCTTCATCCTCTACTTAACCAAAAGGTAAATTGATTTTTATATTAAGATCTAAATTGATTTTAAGATCTAATAAACCTTCTAATCCTTAATTAGATTTTTTATTGACAAATTAATATTCATCAATTAATTTACGAATTTCTTCAAGATCAGCTTCTTAAGATTTTTTATTCTTCAACATTAAAATATTGATTATAATAAACAAATTGAATCCATATTCTATAATGCATTCATTTTTTTTCTTTAATTCATAACCTTCATTCTCATCCTAATATGTTTTAAAACACTCTACAACATATTCTTTTTTATATATTGAAGTATATAACATATAAAACTTAGCTAATTCATTAACTAAAACAGTAATTGGTATACTTCTAATCAATAGATTCATTATTTCATCATTATCTTCTTAAAGTTCCATTAAACTAAGTAAAGTATTTGTACATTTCAATTTCAATCTTTTTAATTTTACTTATTGAATATCTAATTTATTCTATTCAAATAATTTAAGATCTTCTTTTAATAAATCTACACTCCAAGAAACAAATTTACTAGTTACAATAACAACCTAATTTTCTTTACATGGACCTTAAACTACCTCAGTTAATGTATCTAAACATTAAACTAGAGATTCATATGTTGCATCAGATATTCTATTTGAAATAACCAATTTAACCATTAATGATACTATATCATAAGATACTTTTGAATTAGTTTATTATCTAAGATAATTTTAAAGATCATTATTATGTCCTTCACATAATAATTATATCACCTACAATGTTTTTGCAATAAACTTTCTTTTTCTAATTTTCTTCTAATCATCTTTTTTTCTTATCTTTCTCATTGAAGCCATATATTCTGTTAAAATAGTGTATATCTTTAAGAAAAAAGCTTCACTATCTGAATTATTTTTCAATAAATTTAATATGCTCATCTAAATTACTTTATTACCCCCTTCAAGTAATGAGATTATCCATTTTATTAATTAATAAATATATAAATCCTCAGTAACTTTATCACTCCAATATAATCTTAAAGCTATTTAAGTAGCTTTAAGTGAATCTAAATGAATTTACATTTTTATTAATTATTTTTCATTCTTTATTTCCAATAATGCTCTAATAGATTTTATAATAAAAATAACTGTATGTCTACTTGCATTTCTGACTTTCCAATGTTCAATATAATTTAACAACTTAACAATAATATCATCTCTAGATATAATCAGATCCTTAAGTCTAATATCCATAGTTTCCTTAGGTTTTTCAAATATATCTTAGACATTTAAAATAACTTCTTTAAATTTAATTCTTTCACTTAATACTGCTTTTTTAACTGAATGACTTCTTAAGATTTTTTTAATAAAATTGTTCCAAGATTAATAAGAGGAGGATTTTTCTAATTATTCTGAATCTTATTCTTAAACAATTGAAGGTTAATGATTAATTTTGTTATTCTATATTTCTTAAAAAATGTTTTCAGGTTGTTAGAAATAATCTTCAGATATTTCAAGACTAAAATTATTTGATAATTCCATAAAACCTGCCTTGTAAATAGGTAATTTATCAAATTTATGTAATGCATTAACAAGTTGCTAAGCAAATTAAAATATAAATTTTTCTTTTTAAATACTTTAATCTTAGGCTAACATTTTTAAAGAAATCATTCCAATATCTTTCAGAAAATTCATAAAATACACATTAACCAATTTTACTATTTATAATGCAATAAAAGATTAATCATCTTTTGAAATACGAGGCTATTACATCTTTTATGATACAGTTTATAACAATTTAGTAAATTCAGTACAACATTTTTAAAAATCCTGTAAAGCTTTATCAATTTTTTCAAAATATATCTTCAATATAGAAAAAATTTATTCCTTCATTAATAAAGATCCAGTTGAAGATTTAGTATCATGTAAAAGCATTTATAATAATTATCTAACAGAAAGATTCTCTTAAAGTTAAACAATAAAGTTAACACTAATCTCACTTTCAATACATCCACTAACTAATTATATAAATTTTTTCCTAAACATTAACTACCTTTCTTCTTAATTTTTATCCTCATAAAATATTGGTAAATCCCTTTTGGGAATAATAGTTTTAGTTGGATCAAAATAATTGTAATTCGATAAAATCTTAGACATTATGGCTACTTATATTTTCTATGTATCTGTCTCCTTTGATGCTTTTAAAAACACTAACATCACTTCCAAAAACTCATATTAATGGCCATGATCATTAATTAAATGTTAAACATAATCAAAACATAAATCTTAGGGTTTTAAACATAAATCTATATTATTATTGTAAAGAGATTTAAGGAAAGCTACTTATCCAATATTTATTCTAACAGGTTTATCGAGTAATGTTACATATATTTTATAAATTGAATTTTGATTACTTTTATTTCCCTCAGCAAATTTACTTAAAATTTAATGACAAGTTGTAAAAACTTTAATAACATACTAAATAAATTATTTTCTGTAAGAATATTGATCTGAATTTTCAATCACTCCTTATTCAGACTTTTTCTATTCTAACTTTAAAGGTGGTAAAATTTTAGGCTTAGTCATTCCTGGAGTAATAGCTAAGTTAACCTATTCTTTCTCTTCTTCTGAAGAAATATGAAAGTATTTGATTTTTGAATATATAACTCTTATTCCTGATTCTAAAAATTTCAATATTAATTTATGACCTCCTAAATGTTTGAATATTTTTTATTTAATATTAAATGATTCAGCATCACATTTTAGTTCAAATTCTTTTAAAATTTAATCAAATTTTTAAACAGTTTAATGTAAGGCTTCTTCTGCTTTTTCATCATAAACATTAGATTCAATTATTTAAAGCCAAGATTAACTATAACTAATTTAATTCTTTATATCATTAACTAATGTAGATAAAAGTTTATAAGAATTATTATCAGCTTAAACAAGAGAAACCTTTTTTAAATTTAATAATAGTTTTTTTCTTTATGTAAATCGTTTATAAAGTAAATTAACAACTGAATTTTGTAAATCAGGATCTTATGCAAAATAAAATGCTAAAATTAAGACTTCAACAAATGGTCTTTCAAGTATATAATCAAAGTCTTATATTTCTTCATCTGGATGAATGTTTTCATCATCATTTTTGTATTTTCCAGGATCAACACTAAAACTTGGCATAATTTCATCTGCAATTTTTTCATCTGCTATTTTATCATCATCTATATTCATATAATTAGTTTAAAACCAATTTATTGCTTTTCCAATTTATATATCTTCTCTCCATTCTAAAAGAGTTTGAAAAATACCACATATTTATTTTTTTATTAAGATAAAGAATTTGCTTTATTTTTAAAATTTACAAGTTTTTGTAGTAAAATATTTTATTAATTTAAATAAACTTGTGTATCTTTTCAAAAATGGAAATGATTATGAAAAATCTTATTCTTTTTATGAAGTTCCTTATTCTTCTTCCTCTTCTTCAACTTTAGCTTTTTGAAAAATATTTAAATTTATCATATATTTTAAATCTTCTTTTTATTCCATATATGATCTTTTTATTTAGTTTGTCTTCAATTCTTAAAAATAATTATGATCATATTCTAATAGTTTTGCTAAATAACAAACTAAATTCTTTAAATCATTATTCAAATCATTAACATTACCATTTTGATTATTCAATTGTAATGTGCTTTAAAGTAATTAATTTGCATGTTTAGAAAACAATCCAAATTTAACCATCAAACTTAAACATCTAATTACTTCATATGTTAATTCATTATAAATTTTTTCTGTTTTATCCTCATTAATATTTGCATCATCTAAATATTCAATTTTATCTTTCAAATATTCTAATAACCATTTTCTAATTAAATAAGTTCCTTTAATATCATTTGTTAAATTTATTTCTATAAATCTATCTGTAATATCATCTTTTCCACTTGAATTAGAGTTTTACAATACTCTCACAAAACTTGGTTTGTTTATTATACTTCTTGGTTCTTAATCAATATAGAGATTTAATATCAACTAACATAAAATAGCCTTTATTTCATCATCTATAGGGATTCCCAAATAATACAATAAAGCTTTTCGTGGTAATAATTCCTAAAGATTTTTAACACATGCATAATTTCTATTTTAACATAATTTTCCATATAATCTTAGTTATTCAAGAAAATATTATTATATTCGTAAATCAATAAATTTGTTATCAAAATTCTATCTTTAATATTCTTAAGGTTTTTAGAAGAATTCCTGAATCTTCAATTATTTGCTTTCATATTCTCTTTCAACAAATACTCTATATTCAACTAGAAGGTTATCTTCTAAATAATCTATTCTCATTAAATGACCAAAAAGGAAATTTTTATTTTCAACAATAGCCTAAAAGATTTTCTCTTAATTTATATATATAGATTAATGTTCTTAAGATGTAAATGCAGAAAGTAATTATAGAATTTCTACCTTATAATAAGGTTCAAATAGTTTGAGTCTATGAGCCATAGCTTAAAAGATGTCTTAATACTAGTTCTAAGAAACTTCATTTATCTTTTGACGATGTAAATCTTCTAGGATTTCTTTGTTGTCTCTGAAACATTGTTTTAATGATTAAGTCACAAATGAACCAAATCCAATATGATTACTTAAATTTGTTAAAAATTTAAGAATAAATTATTGATTTTCCTGATTCCTAGTTGCAGAAATACTTAATAATTGATATCCTAATTAACATATTTCATATCTTTTTTTAATGATTTCTGTTTCTTATTTAATGGATGTGTTTTCTATTTAATATTATTTAAATAAATATACATATTTTAGAGTGACCTTTCCTTCTTTTAAGAGTCCATTTAGATCCATCATCTGGATTGATTTGATAAAGCTCAAATTCATCTAATGTTGGAAATATTTCAATTAATAACCAACAAAGCAAACCTAAAGAGTATTATTCTTTAAATCTATCCTATCTTCCTCTACATACTTATAATGGTTCCTAATCCAAACTCATATTACCAACTTAACTATTAGTTAAGAATTCACTTAAAAATTGTATCATCTCTTTAACTCTTTCAAATAAAAAATCAAATTATTGTCTCTCTAGATCTGATTTAGGATATTCTGCAAATTTTATTAATAACTTTTAACTTGCAGTAACACAATAGGTTTCCCAGACTTATTATAAAGATGCTTCTCTAAATCTATAAGTATTTATGTCCTTAACATAATCTAATAAATTAGGCTATTAAATGCCTTCATTTTAATTAAGTGAAACCCACAATCCAGTTTTTGCATGTTGAATCATGAAAAAGGCATCTTTTGATATCTTTTATATAGATTTAGTTTTTCCCTTATATTGAATTAGATTGTCAATAGGCACAAATCTAAATTCAGTACATGAAAAATCAGCATTTTTAGAACTAGTATTAGCTCTATTATATGCCATTAATCTCTCATTAGAAGGAGTTCCTTAGACAGATAAATAACATCCAGTAATAATATTCTTTAATCTATATGTTTGATCCCATTTCAATTCTCCACCAAGTTTAACATTATTAGATTCTATTTTCCATAAACCAAAAGGACTTAATTCATCAGATTAACCAATTTTAGGTGTTTTAATTAAAGTCAATAAAATTTGTAATCCATCTAATAATAATTCTCTAGGTTAATTAAGAAATTGTTCTTTAATATCCTTTTTATCATTTTAATACCATTCATATAAAATTCCTTTTTTCTCTTTGGCTAAATTGGGATTTTTTGTTGTCAAATACATTTAATAATAAGGATCTTCAGGTCTTTAACAAGTAAAAAATAAAGGCATTTCAGAACTCAATATCCAAACACATGAACCAACTCTCATATATGTTGATTCTTTAAATGGTTATTCATAAATATTAACTTTCCAATTTTCTTTTGAATCTATCAATCCAATAATAGTATCATTTTAAATAATACTTAAATATGGTGATTTACCACTATATTTTTTAGCACATGCTATATATACAATTTCATCTTCATATACAAAATTATCAGACCTACCTCTTTATAATTTCAATGATGGATCAAAATTGAAAAAACAACATTCATCAGGATTCTCTGTTAATTAAAGACTATTAAATTTACTTCATATATTACAATAGATTATTATTGTCATCCTAATATAAAGTGAGGAATTTAAGTGAGTTTATGTGTAACAACATGAAGTTACTACTTGCAAAACATATGGAAGCATTATAACTTTTCTAAATAACACCCAAATTAAATTAATATTCTGACTCTAATTTATTCCACATTTCTTATATTGCTTCTCTTCTTTTTTCCAGCTCTAAAATATTTAACAATTATTACTATTATCATTATTATCAATTAATTTCTTTCTCCATTCCTAAATCACATTAGCCTAATGTTCAAATGATTGAATGCTTGAAAAAGGAAGTACCATAAATAAGCTGAAAGAAAAATCATAATAATCCTACTTAAATAATCATAAGTTACCACTCCACAAATGGATTCAAAGCTCTTTAATTTTACACTCTTATCCATGAATCCATCACTGAACATGAAACTATTCAAATTACTTTCTGTTGATAAATAGATCACAGACCCATAAGTAACAGGTTATAACAACTGTTCTTCCATAATTAATATAATTATTATATAATATAATTTTTCAATTCTCGCTTATTCTGGATTCAAATACAAATCTCATATTTCACTATTATTTGTTGTTATATTTTATAATATAAATATATAGAAATACTAATCTAAATAGTAATAACTAATTTTAACAATTTAAATTCAAATTATCTACTTCTTATAATATAAAACAAATTTAATATAATTATGCTTTTATTTTCTATATTTGTTATTATTAATGATATAATCTAATAATTAACCAAATCAAACTAATATTTCATAGAACATTCCAGTAAAAGTCAAGAGAGCAGCATCTAAATTATAAAGGTGGTTCAAAGGTAAATAAGATGTAAAGACCTATTAAAAACTTAAAAAAAATCATAGATATAGGAAGAATGTGATATCTGAAATTTATAACACAGAAAAATAATATTGCAATGATATGAAAATACTCAGTGAGAAAGTGTTGATATTGGCTTAATAATATATTAATTAAGAGAATATCAAAACTATATTTATGAATTGCAACCAAATAGCATAATGGAATTAGGAATTCATAAGAATTATGGAAATTGGATATCAAGGTTATATTGGAAATGTTAAAGATATGTATAAACCATATTGGGTAATAAATTATATTAATTATAAGGTTGTTTTTGAAGGAAATACAAAACAGTTAATGAATGTAACTTGTAAGGGATTCAGATATTATTTCGAATATTGTAGTTAATTTAGTAAATCTAATTAACTTATTGATAAGTTAAAGTAAAGTGATTAAAAGTTTAAATAATTTTTAAGTCTCATAAGTCCAGAATTAAGAGGGATGGATTTATCTAGTTTCTTAGTCAAACCTGTATAAAGATTACCTAAATACATTCTATTATTTAAAGATTTAGAAAAACATACTGAGGATGATCATCCTGATATGAAAAATATTAAATTTTTACATAAATATTTTAGAGATATAAATGAAGAAAACAATAAATCTATTGATATTTATATTGGAAGACTTTAAATAAGTGAATTATGTGATTAATTTAAATTAAATAAAATTGATTTACTATAGGATCCATTAAGAATATATAAATTTGAAGAAAAATTAAATATTATTTAAGCAAATAAAGAATTAATTGTTTAAGTACATGCTTTAAGTGATCTATTAATAGTTATTCATGATAATAAATTGTTTAATTAAGTTAAATTAGATTCACTGTCTTTTGTAAAAGATTAACCTGACACTAAATATTTTAATAATTTATTTTAAATTGTAGGTGTTGGAGAAGTATTATAATGTTTTGCAGAGACATTATCTATTAAAAAGAAAGCAATTGAATAATTTGAGAAGCTAATTTAATTAAATAGAGAATAAGAATGTAAAAAAGAATTACAATCAGGAAAATTAACTTTTATGAGATATCCAGTTTAAGTTGTAATTGTAGGAACTGAAGAAAGAAATTTCCAATCTTTTTAAAAACATACATAATATATAACAGAGATATCCATAAATAAAGTTTATTAGAATGTATAATTATATTTAACTTAAGATATATGTTAGATTTAGTGAAATAGTAACTATATATTAGAAATATTCAAAAAAGTATCCTACAATTGAATTTCCAAAATTTCCAAATTAAAGTTGGTTAACATATTAAAAAACTAAATCAATTGAAGAACGTAAATTTGTAATAGAAGGATTTTTATAAACATTACTATAATCTAAATAAGCATAAGGGGATATATAGATACTAAATGATTTAAGTATATTTATAATCAATTTTAGAGTTACCATTTAATTTTTTTGAATTACCTTAAATAGTTATTGATCAATAGAAATCAATTTTTAGTAAATATAATACTACTTTGGATGGATTAGAAGAATTGAAAATTTAAGGTGTTTTAATAGATAAATTAAATATGAGTGCTGGAGAAATTTTAAAAGCTGTTTGTATAGAAAAAGAGAGTAGAAAGAAAAGCATTGCTCAAATATAACCAAATAGAGTAGTAATTTGGCAATAAAAATATTATACAGAACCCAATATGAAACGAGTCATTATTACTATGCCTGATGGAACTTTGACTGAAATTGGAGTAGATGATAAGGCTAAGGTAAGTGAAGTACTTCCATTTGTAGCAGGATATAATTAATTAATTTATTATAAAGATTTTCGATTGTATTTGATTGATTAATTGAAAAAATAAAGAATTCTTGATGATGATGAAATAATTAGTAAAGCTTATGATGATGAAAATTAAAATAATCATGGATGGCTAAATAAATTAGAATAAATTATAACAGCTTCTAACACAGAGTACTAATTTATTTATAGAGGAGTGTTGTCATTAAGATGAGAAAATACTTATATATGCCACTATAATTAGAAGAATTTGATTACAGAGAAGATCCCACTCGATTAATTTATCTTGGGTTCTCTATTTTAGATGATGTATATGAAGGTAAATATTACTTAGGATTCAAAGACTATTGTTTATTTGCTGCATTATATTATCATCTTAAAGTAATCTAAATTCTTATATATTAGTATCAAGAAAAGATTGAAATCTCTCTTAATACATTGTAATTAGACAAAATTATAAAAGTTATACCTTAAGAAGTATATTCAGGTAAATCTGATTTTGAATGGAAAGAATTCACAAAAGAATGTATTGTTTCATTGAATAAGGAATTAGATAGAATTAGTGTAAATTATATGTTTAAAATCATTTAGTAAATAAATAAAATAGAGAAATTGTAAAAAAAAGAGAATTCATAATATAAATTTACTGACAAAAGATGTTTGGCTGCTTTGATTATTATTAATGCTTCTTAAACATTTACTTAAGGTAGTATGGCCATATTTTAAGTTTAAACATATGAATAAACATAAACATATTTTAAATAAGCTGGTATGGAAGTACATGCTACTATGTATTTGGGATTTTCAGCTTATAAAATTTATTTTTTAAATCCATAGAAAAAATTAAAATTCAGAGAATTGGATTACAATAAAGTAAATTGGGTGATTTCTTATCCAAATTAAATTATATTTAATTTCGAAAATTTTAAAGAACCTCTTCGGTTTGATACATTCTAAAGTTATGAAGTATGAAATCATAATTACTAAAAGATAAAATTGTTAGTTGAATAATACAAAGACATACATAAGTTTAATAAAGAATATAATTTAGAGAATCTCTTTAATAATGATAAATCATAATTTATTAAAAATTGACTCACAAAATTTTATAATGAGTGATTAATTAATCATTTATAATAATTTTTATAAAGAAATTTTGGGGAAAATTTATTAGGTATTGTCTATTATACAGTTTTTCCTAATTCAGGTGTTTTTGATTACATTTTTTTAACTCTATCTTTCTTGATTTAAGAAAATTCAGAAATTAATTTATTAAGCATAGCTTGATTTGTTTCTTATTTCATAGATGCTCTATTAGGAGGCATTTACTTTTTGATAAATTTAATAGCTAAAATATTAGGACTAGCTAATTTCTCGGTAGGTTCAGTTTTCCTTTATTTTGAATTTGAATTTTCCATCCATTCTTCAATTGATTATTCAGTAATTTTAAAATTTTATGTTGTTTTTTTATCAGAATTCTCAAAACATTTAACATCCTTACTATTAGGTTAACTTAAATGCCTTTTTTCATTTTCTACACTTTTACTTGTTTTTTATTCTGAACTTGATCTAGTACTTTCATGATTTTTTAAATTATATGGTTGATCCTTTTCGTTTAAAAAGCTTATATCTTTCAAAAATTGATCAAAACCAAATAATTTACCTTCATAATGAAGATAAGTCATTTTTTTTTCTTAAATTTCTTTAAGACACTATTAAAGTTTAAATAGTTTGCTACTATATCCACCCATAATTTAATTAAATGGCAGTGGACTCATCTATACTATTTTTTCATAATGATTTTTTATATCATGTATATATGTTGCTATTTAATGTTCTATTTATTTAGCTTATACTTTTAACTAATTAGTTATTTATATTCCTGACCACAGTTATTGTGACAAAGCAAAAAGTAATTCAGATTTACACTAAAAATATATAAGAATAATTACTAAGTTTAATTATTTTTCAATATTTCCGAATGTTTTAACAACTTAAGTATATTAGTCATTATAAAATTTTTTTAAATTTGCCTCAGTGCATAAGAAATTAGAATGGATATTATCAATTTCACTTTTAGTATGGAGTAATTAATCTATGAATGAGTCTGTTTATTTCTTCTTAGCATTATCTATAATATATTAAATAACTAATACCCTCCTCAATTAATTAAATTTTATTTCCTTATTATGCAAAAACAACTGCACATTTTGTACATAGTTTTTCATTTGGTCCTTCAGTATTTAATAGAATGTATTTAGCCTTAGTTTAAATTTAAGTTTCTTACTTTCTTTTCAGGATGCTGTAAACAAAAAGATTGGTTGCAATTATATTGAAATTCTGAACTTTATTTAAACTTTTCACTAAAAACATTAGAGCTCTAATGAATAGGAGTGTCCATGCCATTCCAAATTTATAAAGATGAGAGATGTATTTGATCTTCTTTTTTCATTTGAATTTTAATTAATGATTGTTATGATTAATTATTATTCATAAATTAATATACGTTGTATTAAAAACAATAGATACTATAAATTAATTTCAGTGAAAATTTGATATAAATTGAAGATAGAGAATAATTATATCAAAAATTTTGTTAGTTCTATTAATTAAAAAAAATCTTAAAATTTTAATTTTTATAAGATATAAATAGAATTTATCCTGATACTATGATTTAGAATTAATTTAAAATATAAATAAAATTGAAGCAGCATTAAGTTCAAAAATTAAATATATCTCTTTTAATGTAACATATATAATGCAAAAATGATTAAAATATAATAAATAATTAATGATCAATAAATTAATACAATATCTAATAATAATAAAGATTTACTTAATATATTTATGATATGATTATAAAATATAATGATATGATAATAGTATATTTTTATTGTTGTTATGTTCTTTAAAAGAAATCATGCGATCTTAGTATATATATTAATATTTATTGATGAAAATCAATAATATGAAGGTAACGGATTAATATTTATTAAAAATAAGATTGTTTAAACTAAATATTAAGATATAGTAAACAAAAAATAGTTAAAACAAAAAGTAATAATAAGATAATATACAGCAGCAAGAGTTGCTCTTAATCAATTAATATTTCTATGTACTCTAATTCGCAAATAAAATCATTTTTTTTAACTTTATTTCATATAATATAAAATCTAGAATCTTTTGGTAGATGTTATCTATATTTCATTTTAACTGTTTCTTAAGATTATTTATTCAATGCTAATAAGGAATATAGTGCATTGTTCATACATTTCTTTGAAGATAATTCTTTTTTAGTTTTTTCTAATTAATTAGATCGAATCTATATTCTTAATCTTTAACCTATATCTTACTTTATTTAAGTTAAATTAAAACCATCTTAAAAATCAGTTAAATTAGTGCTCTTTAATAAATCTGAAATAAATTTCTTTCTTTAATCGTTAATAAGGTATATTTGATATGGATATTTAACTCCATTTTAAATGATTTATTCTTTGTCAATTAATAATTATTAATTAGGTGTTTTCTATGATATAATACCAGGATCTGTTATTAATCTTTAACTAGATACAATTGAATTTTCAAAATCATTAATTTATGTTTTTAATCTTCCTCTAACTTTTTATCTTACAATATTTAAATTAGTATTTTTTCTTAATGATGATACTTTCTCAATTAATTCGTCAGCAAGTGATTGATTTTTTTATTTTGTAAAATTAGTTGAAGGAAGTACTAAATCACTAAAAATGTGTAATTTTTTATTAGTTATTTGTAATTCATTATCATCATAATTTATTGATTTTTAGAGCGTTTACTGTTATCTAAGTAATTATGGTATTAATTGAGGAGGATTTCTTTAGGATGAAGATTTATTCAAAGATTAACTTCTAATGTGAGGCTGTAATTACTTTTAATTTGGATTTTTAGGCAATTACATAATTTCTTATTTTAAATATATATAAATAATCTTATTTCATTTAAAACAACAACAGGATCGTTAAGAATTTCTTATTTATTATTGAGCAATCATAAAATTATTGAGATGATTATAACACTTTTGAGACCATTATTTAACATCTAATTAATGAATTTTATTAGAGTGGTCTGGATTGAATTCAAGTGCCTCTAAAACTGTTTCTAAAAATCGAAGAGACGAAGAGAATTATATTTCTAAATGAAGTCCTTCTAATGTCTAATAACAGTTGAATATGAATCTTTTACTTTAATATCTTTAAATAATATATCTGCCATTGTGCTTGGAGATACATTATAAAGTTATTGAAAATCAGGTAGATCAAAATTTATGAGAAGCAAAGTATTTTATATAACAATTAGGCAAGAGATCATATCATCAAACATATTGAGAAAATTTTCTAAAAGAACTTATTTTTACTGTTTTGATTTTAAGCCTTAAGTTATTAATTCAAAAAACCTGCCATATTTTCCATAAATCTCATTTCATTGAATTGATTATAGTAATCAAGGTATTATAATTTATTTTTTTCTATAATTTAGTAATAAGTTTGACTGGCCTCGCTTGGAACTACGGAAAGTGGAGGTTTAGAAATAGTTGATTGATACATTCTAAGCACAGTTGCATTATCTTATTCGAATTATGGAACTGAGTTATAGTTTTAAGTATTTGAAGGAAAAATTTTCTTCATTTTCATATAAAATTAATAATAATAATAATAAATAATATAAAAAAGTTTAACTAAATTAGTTTTAATAAAATATTAGAATTGAATAGTTTTATAAAATAGTAAATCTATTTTTATTAATAATCCTATACTTTAATGAATATAAGTTAATATATTAATTATAATTAAAAATATTGATAATTTAAATAAGATTAATCATTTTTATTATTTTTATTAAAATTTAAGTCTCAAAGGTTCTCCAGATGATGGTGATGGAGAATTTTCTTTCATAGTATTTATAACAGAGGTTGATTAAGCAAATTATCTAAATTAAAACAATTCATAATTACAATTATTTAATTCTTTATTCTCTTTTAATTATTTCTTCTATTTTTTTATTATCAATCTCAATATCATCTCCAGCAATTACTCCAAATTAATATATTTCTTAATCTTTTTATCTCTCTTTATATTTTTATTTAGTCAAATCTCCTCTACAAACAGGACATATCTAAATTACAAAGTATTTTACTTATAATTTCTTTCTCCATTCATCTAAACAAGATTAATGAAATAAATGTAAACAATAAGTCAATTTTACTAAATCTTGATTTTCAAATTCAACTAAACAAATCTAACACTCTGTAATTACATTTAATCCTGGATACTCTTATATAACTTATTCATATAATTCAACAGGAATAAAATCTCCAGAAAATTATCTTTCATGAAATTTACCTTCTTTTTATGATTTCTCTGTACTATTTCTTCGATCTGTTGAATATTATTCAAATTTATTAATCCTTCTTTTACATATAAGTGCACAACCAATCAAAACAAAAGCCAATATTAAAGAAGAAAATGCACCTGCAAGTATGTAATATATAATTTTATCATCGCCTTAATCATTATTGGATATATCAACACTCATATTTATTAAAACATTAGTTGCTTATTTATTATATAATAATAATAATAGCTTTGGAGTCATTTATTAACTAAGTTCTTTATTAATTTCATAAAATAGATTTAAACATTCCTTTATTTTCTCACTAGAATAGGTTATCTTACCAATGTCTAATTTATTCAAATCATAAAATTAACTATCATAAAATGGAAGATAATCTTTTTCAAACTAACATGACAAAAAGCAATCGATTTTTTAATTGGCATTTATATTAATGTCTAATGAATTTATACTACTTTAGTTCAGTGGTATAGAAATTAAAGTCTCTTTTTGGCTTTCTAGAGATATCTAATGTTTATAAAATATATTACTGTTTCTTATCCATTTCCCTTGTAGGGCCTTGATGAAATTTAACAATTAGTTCCAAATTAATTCTCATTACATATACAAAACGACGGTTGACTTTTTGAGCAAAACCCAATATTGTTACAACTTATATTAATAATTAACTTAATACTTAGAAAAGCATGATAAAGGCTCTTGATTTGCGATAGTTATTTCATATTCTGTTTCATCACTTGAAAATATGTAAATTGAGAATTTTCTTTCTTTTATACCAAAAATACTAAATTTATTGTATATCCACTCAGACTCTTCTTAATTATAATCATATAACATTATTTATTGTTTGCTCTAATAATTTAATATAGCATTGTTATCAAAAATACACTATTTCCTAAATATTCTAAACAATATACTTATTTGATTCTATTTAAGTTTTAACTTGAGATATAGAGCTTATTATAGTTTTTATAATGTTTAAATTTGTTATAGAACAATATGAAAGTATAGGGTATGACGTTATTGGGTTATATGTCAAACTGATAACTATGGTTGATTAGCCAAGTGTAAATTCATCATAATTGTTCAGGTCAATTTCAATTGCATTTAAACCTCTAGTAGTATGAGTTGATTTCATAACTAATGCATAACTAAACCCTATTAAAATAGTTAAAAGAATCATCTTCAAAATTTTTTAGGATAATAATTTGGTTACTAATTACAATAATAAATAGATATAAAAACTGAAACTATGAATCTTTTGATTCTTAAGGATTTTAATTTAATCATAAAGAATTAATCTAATTAAGTATGATATCAGAATAAAGAAACAAGCAAAATAATTAGTAGACTTGATATTGACTAATCTTAATGTTGAAATTAAAATATAGTATCAAAGTAAGATAAGAGAAAAATAAATATATTTATAATATCGCTTAGAAGAATTTTTATCGTTATTATGATTGAAAAGATAAACGATTATAAACAATTTTAGGCGCTTATTATATTTATAATTTGAATGTATATTAAAATATTTTACTTTGTTTACTAAACAGTCTATAAGAATATGCTAACAATTACTCCTATTAATAATTTCAAGAAATTTTATCTAAATAAATTTGCAATTTACAAAGCTCTTTGCTCAAGAATGTAAATCAAATAAATAGCAATAAAAAAATAAGGGTCGTTTTAGATAATAAAATTAATAATCTTATTTTTATGATTAACTATACTTAAATAATAGATCTTTATAGATTTTTTAATAAATTTTAACAGTAAAATATCAATTTATCATTTAAATTTAATAATATCCCTAAATTTCTTTGGAATTATTATCAAAGTAATCATATTTTCTCACTCATTTATAAGAAGATCTAATATAATATTTAATTTATTTGAAAAAATGATTGTTTAATTGATTATTAATGAATCTTCTAGAATTTATTATATTATTCTTAGATAATAGTCAATATTCTTTTTATATTAATATAAGCTTAATTTCTATTTTAGGTTCAATTTTCATTAATTTTGATACAATGATAATTTTAAATCATTTAATGTCTGAAACTTTTATGATTCTTTCAATTATTTTTATTTAGATAACTTTATTGTTATGGTTGATTCAACTGTATTGAGGGGGATTTGAATGAAGTTTTGGAGTGTATTTAAAATCAATTTTAAAGTTAGTATCAAATTTCGAATTTATCTGAATGTTGTTGATGATTAATAATTTTATATTATGTTTATTCCAGATTAACGAAATTTGGGAGGAAGATAAATTATTTGCAATATGGTTTGGAATCATCGACTCTCCCTTAATATTATGGACGATAAATCTGCAGCCTCTCCAATATAGACAAAAATGCATACTCCTCGTTAAGGATGCTACACAGATAGACAAGGACAAAACAAGCCATCTTTTTTTTTTCGAAGAATACCTACTAGCAATTACCAAAAATATAAAGAACTACTTTACAAAAAGCCATTATCATTTCCTAAGAATTAGCATAAAAAAAAATATGACACAGATATTAAAATAATAGATTGGAATTTTGTTGAAAAGGAAATTAACAAATACGGGAAAGAATTTTATAAGGTGAATCTACATTAGTTCATTTAATCGTTTGCAAAAAAAATGAACATTAAAAAAGAATATGATTTTGCTACTCTTATTGAAATGGTATTAAATTCCTATCCAAATATTAAATAAGAAGATTTAATCGAAATAGCATCTGATATTATTGTTGATGAACTTTGATAGTTAAGTTTTGACTATTATTTAAATAAATTAAACTTAAATGATTTAGTATTAAGAAATTTTAATATCTAGTAAAGACTTATTATTATACATATATTTTACTTTACTTAATATTAATAAGCTTTTTAATTTTATGCAATTTTAAATTCAATAAAGGACATCTACCATTATTTAATTTGTTCTTTCAAATCTATATAAAATTCTCAAAGAAAATTTCATTATTTATGAACATCAATATTATTTCTTATTTTAATTAATAAAATTTGCTTTAAATATTTCCTCATTTTAATAATTTATAAATATGGATATATAAATTACAAAATAATTTTATATCATTTATTTATAACTTAAAGGTTTTCATATAACTCTTCAAATCAATGTTTAATCATCAGAAGATTTTTCCATATAATATTCAGCTATAGTTGATTCTATATTCTCTCCATTTTCATCCTCTTAATCAATCTAATGTCTAATTTTACTTAATTCTTAAGATTATTCTATTTCCTTATTAAAATTTGTATTTAGTAATATTGCAATATAAGAAGTTATCATAAGCATATTGATGGGATTGAATAGATGATGATCATAGTTTTCATAATATAAATAAAAAGAACTTTTCTAAAAAGAATATACTATAAAGAAAAGAATATCTATTATAAATATATCCAATCCTAAATTAAATAATAAAATTACTTATTAAATGTGATTACAAACTAATCATAATCTCATAAGCAAAAATGCTAGCATATAATAAATAACATATCCAACATATTTTTAAAAGATTATTAATATTATCTACTTAATTCTCTAAATCTTTAATAACAAAGCTTTGATTTTCAAATGAAATCAACCATCTATCAATACTTATTGGTACAATTACAAATATAGAAACAAGAGTATTTCTCAATTTGTTAGTTTTATTATTTTATCCTTATAAATAGGATAGAATTTATAAGAAATATCTTAAAAATAAAAACTCTCCAATTGCATAACATGTTTAACCAATAAGCCATTCAATTGCTTCAAATTCAGGAAAATAGCATAAGGGTCTTAAAGGTTAAGCAATTAATAATATGATTAAAAGCATATGTGGTTTATTTTATTTTATATAATTTCCTAATGGAATCATTGAAGTATTCTCTAATTTATTAAATTAATTCGCTAGAAACATAATTACAAGACAAAGGAATGCTACAAAAGCATCTTCTAAATACTTAAGATTATTTTTAAAATAGGCTGTGATCTCTAAATTTAAACTTTTTGTGAAAATTGCATAAGTACAAACAGCAGATAATTAAGGAGTCATAAGATAGTATTAATTATTATTGATATTACCCTACTTCAATGTAAAGTTGAGTAATTTGAAATTAAATGAACTCTATACTTCTTATTTAATGATTTCTGAATCAATAAATGGAAATGTCGAGTTTTTTTGATCTTCTAAAAAAATATTTGTAAATGTCAATTATTTTGAAGTTGGAAATGGCTAATAATAAATATTCAAGTTTTTTGTTATTTCTATTGGTAATGAATATAAAAAGTAAAATGTTGCTAATGTTTCATTAGAATTCCAAATAAAAACACAATATTCTATATTTTCATTATCCTCTGATTAGCTATAATGACAGTTTCTTTTAAGTAATTCTGATTCAATAAATTCAATATTCAATTGTTTATCAATAATATAGAATACACCAATAAGAGCCACAAAAATAATTAAATTCTTCATAATTATATGAAAAAATTATAAAAAAGTTTCAACATCAATATATATAAAATATATAAACTATAGGTGTTGAATTAAATATAATTCATAATCATTTTCTTAGTGAATTTTCAACTCTGTTACAAGTTTGGTCAATTAAATTAATTAAACTTTCTTCAGTTGCTTCTCTTTCATTTTTCTCATTTTATAATTCATGATTCAAATAATTATTCATCTCATCCAACATTCTAAACATTTAACCTTGAGCTGATTCTCTTTATTTTTTTTCATTAGTTAAAATTTCTTATAATTTTAGAATAGAATCTCCAAGTTTTTTAATAGTATTTTAATTTTATTCCTCCCTTAAAATAATGCAAATTATAAATACCTTTATCTTCTTTCTTCTTCAACTTCTTCTTATAATTACAATACTCTATCTCCAATTTCTTAAGAATTCTTTTCCTCAGTTTCTTCTCTATATTTTTTTTATCTTGCTAAATCCAATTTTAAACTGTAGACTTTTTCATCTGTATTTTTAATAATTTTAACTTCATAATCCTTCCTATTTATTTTTTCATTTTATAATTCCTTTCCTAAAAACCCTTCTAATAACTTCAAATCTTTTGATCTTAATTTCTCATCTCCAGTCTATTAATATTTTCAATATATTACTTCTCTAATTATTTTTTCATTTTAAGCTCCTTCCTCAATTTTTTAAAGTTATTCTCTTAATAATTTAAATTTTGAATCATCAGCTTAACTTTATTTTGTAGCCTTGTCTTCTAATAACTTTACTCTATTTTCAAATGTCTCTTTTTTAAACTGAATTAAAATTGTATTTTACAGCCTAATCCTCATCAACTTAGTGTTAAAGATTTGATAATTTTTCTGATAGTTAAGAAATCTTGGCTCTACTTGGTGAAAGTGCTCGATCAGCACCACTAATATTAACATTTGATCTGGATGGAGAGTATAGAATTTTAGATGAAGACATTATTTTATTAATAAAATTATTTATCATATATCATTAAATAGTGTTTTGAATTAAAATTTCTTTAAATCAACTTAAGAACAAGTTCTTGTAGTACAAGCCTTCTATGAAGAGGATTTACTGTCTGATATTAAAAATAATGGCAAAGGTTTTGGTGATATATGAAGTATGGGAAGGGATTTCTTTTTATTTGGTTTACCACCATTAAGTAAATAATTATTGTAAATGTGAGTAGTTATTTTTAAAGTGGGTTTTTTATTTTATGTTTTATTCATTAATCCAATATTACTTTAGCTGCCTTATTTACTGACTGTTAATTGTGTGCGTAATCTCTAGTTTGTAAATAGCAATTAAGCATTATTATATGCTTGAAATCTCTCAAATGATGTTCCTCTTGATCTAATTGCTATTTCACTAGAAATATTTTTATAAGAGTATGTTTAAGTATTAGCAGATTACATTATAATATATAAATATAATGTGAAATACAGAAAAATAGAAAAATAATAAATATCTAATATTATGTTTTGACTCATTATTTGATTTAATTATTTAATTCTTCATTCATTAAATTATATTAAATAGTATCAAATTCATTATTTTTCATTAAATCTTAAGATTTCCAATTCATATGATTTAAGATTTTTTATATTTGGTAATTCCCTTCCATTTAGACGAATCTAACCTGATAGAACATCTTTGAAGTATTAATGATTTAGATATTATTGAGCTTTTCCTCTATAATTTGGAGTATATTTTATAAACTACTTTATAAATTCTATTGTCTCACTAAATTCCCATTCTTTTTTTTTTATTTGAGGCATTTTAATATCCTCAAATTAACTCTTCATTGATTATAATTCATGCTTTTTTGGAACTCCTAGAATCTTGATTATCTCTGCAATAACTTCCTCTTATGTATTTCCTTCAAAAGCAACATTCAAAGTCCACATTTCATAAATTACACATCCATAAGCCCATAAATCAATTGAATTGTTGTATTTAGTTGTTCCAAGTAATAATTCAGGAGCTCTGTATCTGACATTATTAACGTTATTAATGGAATCTTCACCTTCAAATAAGAACTTAGCTTATGAAAAATCTGCTAATTTTAATTCAAAGGTATGATTATTAATTAAGATATTGTCTGGCTGTATATTCCTATGACAGATTTGACATTCATGCAATTAAGTTATTGCTCTTAAAAGTTAAAAAGCAAATGATTTTATTAAAATTAAAGGAATTTCTTAATTTCTCTATCTATGTCCCTAAATTACTTGAGTGAGATTCAAAGGCATAAAATCAAAAAGTAAATTTGTTTGATTATTGTTCATAAAATGATGTCTTAATTCTATAATGCATGGATGATGATATTTTTAGAGTGCTTTTAAAATCAATAACTCTCTTTCTTTCTCTTGTTTATTATATTAACTTTATTTTAGACAAACATTTTGCTAAACAATTGGAAGTTCTACCTATTTTAATAGTTTAAATACTTTAAAAACATTTGAAGTTTTATCAATAGATTTATTTTATTTATTTTGTCTACTCTATTTCATAGACGATGGAATGGATACTCTATAATTAGTTTCAATAAATTTTTTCATATAATCTGTGATTTTAGTATGATGAGATAGTGATCTGGATGGTTTATTTTAAAGCATATATTAATAAATCAAAAATTAATTATAACAAACAATTTTCTCACTTCAATTTTAAGTTTAATAATTCTTTATTTTTACTACTTTGATATATAGAACCTTTAGTTTAAATATTGATTTACTATGAAAAAGTAGTAATTATAGATATCTAAATATATATATATATCACTTATAAAATTAGAAATTAATTATAATTTAATGTTTTTTCCTCCTCCTTATTATTACAAATAGTTTATAAGTCCAAAAAGTTTTCCAGTACCTGACTTAGATAAAGTGAGATAACACATAGATGATTATTATTCATTTGGAGAATTTCATCAAGTATTATGAAAAATTATTATTAGTTCAAAGATTATGAAGCTGATTAATTATAGATTTTAAAAGAGAAATTAGCTGAAAAAAACATCCATGGAAATTTAAAATTAAAATTAAAAGAATTAAGCACCGAAATTTTTGAAATCTGTATTAAACTACAAGATTCAATTGCTAATGTAGATAATTAGCACATAGAATTAAAGAATCAATTACATGAGAATTATGAACAATTCAATTTAATATGTTAATTTATTAATATGAAATAAGTATTTATTTATTATATGATATTAGAAATATATCGATTTAGAAGAAATATTTAAGAATGAATTAATAAAACTTAACCAAATAAATAAGGATATGGCAGTTAAAATTTAGGAATTCTAAAAATAAATAGCTGAATTAAATTCTGATTTTATCACATATTGATATGAAATTATGTAATTATAAATATGAATATTTAAAATATTCTAAATAATATTATATTTATTCTGATATCATGAATGCATACTCACTTTTCATTATCCCCATGAAGCAATTTATCTCTTCACATTTTCATAGTTTTTTAAGGTTTAATCTATCTTAGGTTCAGCTCTCAAGAAATCTTCCTTTGCTCTATTTTATTAATATTAATAATAATTACTTTTTATCATTTGCTTAGATAGCTGCTAATTAGTCTTTACTAAGTGAAATTAATTTCTTCTATCTAGAAAGTCTTAATCAAAAATTTACTCAGCAGGAGATAGATTTTATATTTTACTAACATGTTCTTTAATTGTTTTAAGTATCATTTCAATTAATGGATCATTTTCATAAGTCATTTTTCCTTATGCTAATCCTTTAAGAGCAGATTTGAATAATGCCTTTTAGATTTCTGGAAGATTATTCTTCAAATTTGTTTCTAAGGACTTTTAAGCAGCTTCAATAATTTCTTATAATAATCTATTTTAATTAATCTAATTTAATATAATCTTATAATAATATTACTTATTCTGATTATTAAACTTATTTAAGAATATTTTATGATCTCTCAACAACATGTCTTTATAGATTTAATTATTCATTCATAAGAAACTAAAGAATATAAATTTATTAATAAATACAGTATTAATTAATTCTGCTTTAACATCTTTGAATTCTTTATGTAATTATCCATATTCAATCTATCCTTTAGCTGCTTCAAGGAGTGTACGAATTTTGAGTTACATATTTTCATGATAATATTGATCTAATTAGAAACATTCATTTCCAGCTACTCTTCTGTAAAATCTAGCAAGTAATGGTTTCATAAATGATTTACGACCTTCCAAGTAGAAATACATAATTTGCATCCAGAATAAGAATGGTAAGAATGATGATTTAGCAATCCAATGAAGATTTGTTGTTCCTGCTGCAAATCCAATAACAATCAATCCTCCATAAGTTAAAAGAAGATATTTTCTTGCAACAAGGAAATTCTCATAATGTGGTGACACTTATTCTGGTCCAATGAAGTTATAAAACAATTCAGATGATTTAATCTAAGGTATTATATTTAATACTTACACCACTGAAGTTCACTGGATTGTGTGGATTATTATATGGATGTTCGAATGCTTTACCTTAAGGTGCAACATTTGGTGCTTTATTCTCTTTCTCAATAGCTTCACTACATGATTAAAGATTATGCTCTTACAGCTTTTGATTGAATTGAGTGACATACTCTGCATATTTACTTTAGAATTTTAAGAAATTCTTTCCTGCAATATCCTTATGAGTAGCAGTTGCTGTAGCAAATCCGAAGAATCCCACTCGACCTGAAGATTTTACCAAAAATTGCATCTTTTTTAAAATATTTAATATAATTATTCCTATTACATATATTAAACATAGAAAATTGAAATCATCACAACCAAAAATATATATTTATGGTATTATCATTATTATTATAGAGGGTTCTTACGAACTTTAAATAGTTAAATAGTTAAATAAACATATATTCAGTTGTTACTCAGTATGAATTGCATAAAATAAAATAAGGTTTTGGATAAATTATTAAATAATGTAGGTTTCTTATAAATGTCTATTTTTGATCAAACCCAATATGATTGCTATTTCTTAAACATAAGTAAATGTATATAGATAATGATAGATATTGATTATGTTTTTCCTAATTAATTATTAGGTGCCTATTTAATAAAATTAAATTATAAATATCATAAGCATCTGATTTCTTCAATTAACTAAATTATATTTGCAATTATAACTTAATCAAAAAAATTTATTTTCTTTAAAAATTAATGTTTATCACCTAAATTTCAACAATTAATTTTATTTATTGTAGAAGAGATTTATTATTATACTAAAAAAATTAATAATTTTCAATTATTAAATATATCAAAGAACTTATTAAAACTAGTGAAACCTTTGATAAATAACTTTTTCTAAGAAAAGATGAGTGAAATTACAAATTCATTAATCTAATAAGATAATTATTAATGTAAAAAATTAACAATACAATTAAAACAATATATTCATCAATAAAATTAAACTTAACAATTTGAATATCTTAATCCTTATTTCAAATTATAAACATCTTTTGTATATATAATACAGTTTAGTCAGTGTCACATTATTACTAAAAATAAAATTAATTATTTTTTAGTAATTGAAGGAAAATGGAGTTTCATGTTTAAATAATCTAAAATAGTTGTATGACTTCTCGTGTTACACAAAAAAAGAATTGGTATTCAAATATAATTAATAAAATTATAGTTAATTCATCAGACATCATCATCAATCATCAGATTTCTCTAATTCAAAAAATATATTTCCTCAAATGTAAATACCTTGTAATGATACTATTAACAATCAAAATCAATTTGTGAAACCCAAAATTAATATATAGTATGAAAACTAATTGGAAAAAAATAGAGAAAAAATTTAAGAAATTAAACTATTGATCTTGAATTCAAGAAATTAGAACCCTTTATAAATATAGAAGAGCTAAGTTAAATAGTAAAGTATAAAAGAATAGAAAATGATGATTGAACTATCTAAACCTATTCGAAATGTTTCCAATTTTTCTCATGATAGTAGACAATCAACTACTACAAATTAAACTACTCCATTAAGGAGTTCTAGTAATGATAAATAATTTAGCTATATGTAGATGTCGAAAAATCATAATTCTCCATTAAATAAATTTAAAAAGATAAAATATTTAGGGAGAGGCAATATTAGTGATGTTTATTCAGTTATGTATTATTTTAATGGTTATTTAATTTAGTGATACAACAACTGGAATGATAGCAGCATTAAAAACAATATAAAAATCATTGATAACTAGCAAAGGTATTTAAGAATTGATAAAAACGGAAATAATTATATAAAGTTTTATAAGCCATTAAAACATACTAAAGTGTTATGGAATAATAAATGATGAAAAATAAGTATAATAATTTATTATAAAAGATTGCTTTAGTTTTAGAATTAGGAGATATAACATTATATAATTATAAAAAGGAAAAAAAGTTACATGAAAAATAAATAATTGATATAATATATCAAGTCTTAAAAGGAGTCAATTTTTTACATTAGAATGGGATTATTCATAGAGATATTAAACCTGAGAATATTTTATTGCAAAATGGAATTGTAAAGTTAGCAGACTTAGGAATTTGTGTAAAGGCAACAGAAACTAATTAATATTGTGGAACTCCAGGTTACATGGCTCCAGAAATAATTGAAAAATAGAAATATGATAATAAAGTAGATTGTTATAGTATTGGAGTACTTTTGAATGAGTTAGTATTTGGAAAACTACCAAAGATTGGATAAAGAATTAATGGTGATACGCAACTTATTAATTTAATGAATCATCTTTTAGAAGTTAATCCTAAGAACCGTTTTAGTTGTAAACAAGCATTAGAATAAGATATATTCAAACTTTGTGAAAGAAAGGCAATAAAATAATCATAAATGATAAAGAATACCATTTTATGGGATTGTTGAAATGTATTAATTCAAATAATTCCAAATTTTGTTTATATAATTATATTATATTATATTATATTTGTTTTTATATATCTGAATTTCAAGAAAAAACTGAATCAAATATGAAAAATATTCTTCAATAATGTTTAAATAAACTCAAGATTTTAATATAGATAGTAAAACATTAGAAATCTCTTTGATTATTTATGTTGATTATTGAAGATTCCCTTTAGTTCTTAAAATTAATTGTAAATGCAAAGAGAGGAAATATGTGTAGTTTTGATATTATCTTTGTAATGGAGATTTATAGATTAATAAAGTTAATTTAATTGTTAAACTTGAGTTAAGGAAACTAGTATTTCTAATAAAATATTTTTTGTTAAAATAAGTTGGTTAATATATTTATTGGAATTTCTTGTATTTTAGTTCTGTTTTATTAGATATTTGAAATCACATTAACTGAATAATTGAAAAATTATTTCTCAATTGTGATATTTTTTTTGAGACTACTGAAAATTTTTGCATAAGAATTGAAGCAAGAAAGTTTTATTCATTTATTTAAATCATATTGATATTTCATAGCTTTGTTCAATCAACTTTCCAAGTAACATTTAGAAGTCTTGCACTCCTTGTTTACTGCATCACACATCTTTTTGCATTTGGCTTAACTTTCTAATGATTATCTCAGTTAAGATTATGCGCATGTATAAACACAGATATTTATTTATGAATCACATTTTGCTTAACATTCTTTGACTTTGCTGGCGAGAACTATTGTTTTACTTTAAATTGATTACCACCATTAAATAGCAAAACGATAAATATAATCAAGAGTTTAATATTCATTTTAATTATTAAAAGTCATTAAATTCAAAACATTGTTTAGTAAATGCATCAATTTAATGAACATTTAGAAATTTTCTTAGTTCAAGTTTTCCTTTTTCATAATATAAGTTAGATTGTAAAAAGAAAATTATATGTAGTTCATTTTTAACTTTCTCATGATTAATTTTGTTTTAGAATATCAGAAACATTTATAAAAGGATGGTTACTAAATGCATAAAAACCTAAATAAATTCATTTTTTAAGAGACCGCATTTTTACAAATAGAAAAAACTGAATTCTATATTATTAAAAAAAACAATTAATCATAAATTTGAATCAGAATTTTAATATAAATATTATATATGTTTTTATCTAATTTAGTTATCCAATTAGTACAATGGCAACTTCTAATCAGATGATAGATCTAATTAAAGTATAAATTCTCAAAGGAAATCTACAGATCAATTATTTATAAAGGAGAGAGTTAGCTAAAATAAAAATTAGATAGAAAAGTATGATCTTGAAGATAATTTAAATTAATTAAATGATTTTATCTTACAATATATTATATTTCTTCATTTTAATTTAACCATCATTTATTCTGGTTATTCTAAATACTATTTCCAAGT